TAGAATATTTTAATACAGTTAAAGGTATAATATAACCACCACCAATTAATCATTGTTGATAGTTAAAAGTCGTTTCGTTCTTAATCACTCATCAAGTACACAGCATGAATTGCACTTTATCTGAAAAAGAAAAAAAACGTTAGAGTACGTCCTTACATGGCACCCGTGAAATAATAACCTTCTTTTTTTGTCGGTAAATCATCAATCATAACATTGTCGAATTGTAGCCTAAAACGAGGAGAAATTTCTTTTGACACAGTGCAAAATGTGTCAAATCATAGTGTTTTGCATAGGAAACTATCTTAGACTACTTTACAAAGTCAAAATCATTGCAGTGCATAAAACTCTCACATTTGGGTCAGTGGTTGGGTCGATGTCATTACGTAATTATTCACATGGTTCCTTAAGAAAAAAGTTATGAATTAAGTTATATTTCCTATGCAAATGATACAACTAACATTCTGCAATATTTATATTACATGATTAATTTGATAATTTTAATATTTTTAAATGACGAAAACTATAATTAAATGTTTTTGGTATTTCCGCTTGAAAAGTCATGAATGTTATTTGATTGGATCCTTACAACTTTATTCTAGTGAAGGGTAGTTTTATTTTTATGTCTTTCTTGTTACAAATTACCGCACTCTATTGTTTTATGTATATATACTGCAACAAATAGTACTTGCTCGAATAAACCATCAGCGACATCTTTTAGCCTTACCTTGTAAAAGCCGGCGACTGAGTTTAGAACTTTTAGAGCAGCTATTTCTTCCCAAAATCTAACCGAGCTAAAGAAATTCACAATGTATAATTATCTTAATCAATTAAACGCATTTCACGAGGACAGGTCACGACTATACCATATGTGATACATCAAGATACATGTAATTGTAATAACATAGATATATACATACTATTATCGCCTAATTCCTCGATCGTTTCGACCGATTCAAATGAATCACTTGCTGATTGACTTTCTCTTGATTCCGAACTCGAACTATCTACTTCTGCAGGACTTATTATGATACAGATCAGCATCTGAAATCAACAAAGAATACATGAAATATGTACGTTTCATTTTTTACTATAAGGGAATGTATATATATAAATACCAAGTATTGGGTATATGTCATCATGTTGCAGTAATTGTTATGTTATACAATAATAAAAATGTTAACTATTATAATTTGGAACTAATTTCAAACAATATTACGATGATCCACATCTTGTTTATCGACACTAGAAAAATAAAATGTTGGCTTAATATATGTCCTACGCGTGAAGTGTTTACAATGATCACCAATGAAATAATAATAATTATGTGGCTGTGGAGGACTCTAAACCATTTACAAAATGTATCAGCATAAACTTACCAGTGCCAAAGCTATACAAATAAACTTAGTTGCCATGTTGTCACTTGATTAACAGTTTGAAAATACTGTAAATATAACATACATATTCAGAATAATAATATTATATAAATTAAAACAAGATCACATAGGCCCAAGTCTTGCAGTGTAAGCAAAGTTCAAATAACTTAATACATAATATAAATATTATTGTAATTCCGAGTAAAAATGTGCATTTTATTCATTCAAATGCATTACACCCATAGAAGGTTTTTCATCCACTGAAAAAATAATAAACGTACATAATGCTCAATATACTTCTGGAAATTATATATATGCATAACAATAACCAGTTAGTATCAAATATTTATCTGTAATAAATTGTTAAAAAAATGCACAATGTCCATGTAGTAGTAAAGATGGATGTATATTATTGCAAACAATTTTACAAACTATAATGTACCATGTATATACACGCTAATTTCAGTATAATATTTTAATGAAATTATGACACTTTAAATTCATTTATAATGTGTTTACTGATAGTTTTTGGAATTATATATTTTTT